CAGCCCTGCCCCCTGGTGGGCTGAGCTGGCCACACACACACACACACACACACACACACACAATAAATAAATAAATAAATAAATAAATAAATAAAATAAAAATTAAAAAAAAAAAGGAGTCTTGGGGACTGATGCAAAAGGAATAAGAATGAACCATATGGGCTGAGGATACAGTTCACTGGCACAGTGCCTGCCTGGCAAATGCAAGGTCCTGAGTTTGATTCCTGGTCCAAAAAAAAAAAAAAAAGACAATGAAGTCGAAGACGGAGATGGAGGGGGAGGGGGAGAAGGAGGGGAGGAGAAGAAAGAAAAAAGAACCACTACCATATAAAAATAAAGACTTTGAAGAAGGAACAGATAACAGAGAACAGCATATTTTATTTACTTGATCTGTTCCACTAACTTTTTTTTGTTTTTAATGTATTTAGTACAGGTTCTACATGGTCTCACTACACAGATCAGACTGGTAGTGATCCTCCTGTTTTCAGCCTCCCAAATGCTGGGATTACAGGCACGCACCACCACGCCCAGTCATCACTGTCTCAGCAGGTACCATTGGTGGGTCCAACACAGCATGCTTGGGATCAAAGCCCAGTCCCTGTGTCTGCCTAAGCAGGCACTTAAGTCCGCTGAGCTATCTGGCTGGCCCTCCACCAACTTTTTAACTCTTTTTTTCCAGATTCTTTTCTATAAATAGCTTAATGCTACCTGCTTGAGACATATAACACTACAGTCTGGATCCTAAATGTCCCCCAAAGTTCAGGTGTTGAAGGCTTGATCCCTAGTGTTCAAAGCCAGGACCTTTGGGGAGCAATTGGATCATGACAACTCTGATCTCTTGACCGGATTTGTACAATGATAGTCACAGCTCAATGGATTGGCTTGTTGTAAGAGCCAGTTCTTTCTTTCCTTGTGGCCTTGAAGCCAGGAGGTGAGCATTGTGGCTGTACCATATGCTCCCTACCACAACACCCTCTCCCTACCACAGACCTGTAGCTTTGTGGCCAAATCACTATGAGCCAAAATAAAACTGTCCTCTTTTAGGTTGATTTCTCTCAGGTAATTTGTCACAGTGACAAAAAACTATCAAAGTATTCAAAGGAATTTGGTCACGCATATGAACTAAAACTTTCCCCAGAAGACAAAATTTTGTTTTGTTTGAGACAGGGTCTCATTAATGCAGTTCAGGCTGGCCTTGAACTCAACTTTGTAGCCCAGGCTGGCCTCAAACTTAGAGTGATCCTCCTGCCTCAGTCTCCCAAATGCTGGGAGTACAGGTGTGTGCCACCACTCCCAGAAAAAAAGTATTTTTAAAAACCTTTAAAAAAAGAAAAAAAAAAAAAAAAAAAAAAGAGCTGAAGTCTGCTAAGGATCTTTTTCTTTTTCTTTCCTTTTTTATTTTTTTGCATTTTTTAGGGAAGGGTCTACAGGGTGTTCAGGGTCTCACTACTAGATAGGACTCATAGTGATCTGCCTGTTTATAGCTTCCCAAGTGCTGGCATTACAGATGTGCACTACCAAACCCAGTCTCCAGCTGGCATGGCAGGCCCAGGGATGAAACCCTGGGCCCTGCACCTGCTTGCAGGTGCTTTAATCCAATGAGCTATTTGGCCAGCCCTTAGGATATTTTTTCTGAAAATGTCTTTTTGTGTTTCTAGATTCAGATGACTTAATTTTACAAGAAATTTCCTCAAGAGCAATGATTGTTCATAGAACTATGATTCCCCCAACCAAGAAAACAGTATGGTGAAATGAACAGCATGGCTTCCCCAGCCTCAGAAACCTGGTTTGGTTTGAGGAAGAGACTCTCCACAGAATCCAGGCTGATCCTGAACTCACTATGTAGCCCAGGCTGGTCTCAAATGTGCACTCCTTCTGCCTTAGTCTCCCAAGTGTCCAGATTATACCACCATGCCTTGTTCCCATCCTCATATTCTTGCTTTGTAGTTCCAAATTTTCATCATGTGCAGTGACTCATGCTTTCTTCCCACTCGGATGGGTTAGATTTACTTACAAAAGGTTGACGTATAGAGTAACACAGTATTACCCTCATGCACGGTACTTAACAGAAAAGCAAGTGGTACAATAACAATTAGGTAACCAAAAACATGTGTACGGCAGGGGACATCCAAAGGGATCTTTTTTCTCTCTTTGAAAAACACTGAACTAGGTGTAGTGGTGCACATCTATAATATCAGCACTTGGGAGGATGAAGCAAGAAGATCACTGCAAGTTTGAAGCCAACCTGGGCTACATAGTAAGTTCAAGGCCAGCCTGAACTACATAGCAAGACATATCTCGAAAAACACATAAATACTGATTTCTAACAGGCATGGTTTTACACACCTATAATCTCAGCATTTGGGGGGCTAAGGCAGGAGAATCACTACAAGTCTGAGGCCAGCCTGAACTATACAACAAGACCCTGTCTCAATAAAAAAAACAAGACAAGACATAGTGATTTCAATGCTAAGATACAGGTGTGCAAATAAAACATCTAGAAAGAGGGAAGCAAGGGTTGAAGAGAGTTCACATAGAAAACCAGTAAACTGTCTCTCAAGAAACTTCTGAGAGAGACCAAGGCAAAAAAGAGCACTAGGTTAACAGAACCCATTCCTTTGTAAAAGAGACCTGTGGGGCAGAAGGAGGTATATTTAGTAAAGCTGAATTAACAAATTGTACACAGAAAGTCTTCTGATATCTTGCTAGGTCCAAGTAAAAATATCAGACACACTTGAACATAATATTTTTTAAAAGGCAGCAAAGAAGTCATTCAATAAAAGCAATTTTAGGGCCAGCAAGATAGCTCAGCAGACTAAATTCCTGCTTAGGGAAGCACAGGGACAGGGGTTCAATCCCTGGCACCACATGCCATGCCAGCTCCACCCCTGGGTGTGCTGAGACCAGGCATGGTGATGCACACCTGTAATCCCAGCGCTGGGGAGGCTGAAAACAGGAGGATCATTACAAGTCACTATAAGCTGTGTAGTGAAACCCTGTACCAAAAAAAAAAAAAAAAAAAAAGTAATTTTACTTTCAGACTTTTTCTTTTTTTTTTTTTTTTGAGGGGAGATTAGACATTGGATCTGCCAATCAAGAGTACATAAATTATCATCCACCCATCATCCTCACTCAGGTGCATCAAGACAAAAGCCAGGGACCTGGGAGATAGCTCAGCGACTTAAGTACCTGACTGGCAAGTGCAAGGTCCTAAGCTTGATCCCCAGTACCAAAAAAAAAAGGCAAAAGACAACGAACTTTTCCAAAATGCCAGCTCTGACAGTGATAAGGACCTTCAACTTAAGAACTCCTTAGTTTATAAGAAGTACAAATAAGAATGTCAGGACATATGCAGGGTATTTATATATCCTCCAAATTTAAAAATCTACTTGTCTCCTTGGGAAGTAGTTCTAAAGTATAACCTTTGCTTAGATAAGAAAATACTACAATGGTAAAAACTCCTGGCACTCTAAGGTAGCCATAATTAATTTTAATTAGTCTGCCATAGATTATTTGATGCTATTTGAAGAATACAATGTGTTAGAGATTATCTTCTCTGCCACAATTACAATTAAGATAAAATGAATGTAATTATACCTCCCACATGGAACTTTTCTCTCCTGAGGAGCCAATGACAAAGGTATCCTTTTTCACAACAGAATGAAAGCCATTTCAGTCACATTACCCTGCTATTGGAAAATGTCTATTTTCAACTATAATATAGGAAGGTGGTCAATAAATAAATTTTAAGGGCTGGGAAAATAACTCAGTAGAATAAGCACTTGCCTGGCAAGTCCAGGGTCCTGAGTTCAATCCCCAGTACAATTAATTAATTAATTAATTTTATTGCTAAATTTACTGCAGATGGTAATAAGAGATAAACATAACCTGATGTCTACTGTCAAATAACAGACTTCAACCAACTTCTCTTTAGCACTTAATAAAAGCCCTGAAATGCTTACTTTAATTTCAACTTGCTCTTCCATTTCTTTAGTTTTTATTGTAGTATATTCCTTTTCAAGCCTAAGAAGAAGAAGAAGAAAATCAAAAGCATATTTTCATTCAAAAAACAGCTAATTATAAATTTTTTAAATATAAATATAAAATATGTTTTAGTTTCCCCCAGTTCATTACTTAAGATACTTAATATGAGAAAAATGAATATCCATAGGGTGTTATATAAAAAAAAACTTAGAAATCACAAAAATAAATGCCATTACAAAGTAGAGAAAGTAAATTTATAAAACACCAAACGAAGAACTGAGTTTACAGACTCTACTAAACCCTAGACTTATAAAAGAACCAGCCATCCTTTTCCATCAAATTAGATCACAACTTTATGGCTGAACAGGCTCTTAACCATGAAAATCCTCGTACTAGCAGTGATTTAAAATATTTGAAGTTTCAAAAACAAAAAACAACTCTTAAGACTACTGTTCCTTACAGAAGCTTCAACTAAAAAATGTAGAAGAAATGAGGCAAATATAAAAATCAATACAATGCCACAGTAAATACCAGAGGCAAGAAACACTAGGGAGGTGGGCTGGCAAGATAGCTCAGCAGTCTAAAGTGCCTGCTTAAGCAAGCTTAGGCTAGGCGAGGAAACCGAGGTTCAATCCCTGGTACCACATGCTGCACCAGCCCCAGGGCAGGCTGAGCCAGCCAAAAAAAAAAGAAAAGAAAAAGAAACACTAATGAGTACTAAAGTCAGTGCACTGAAGTCTATGAATAGCCTCAGATTGTGTTTTATTGTTCAGAAAGTACTGAAGGAAACAGTAAATTTATAATGCAGAATCCTAGCAGATAGCACTTGAGTTAACCGATTAAAATTAAAGTTACTCCAGGGGGCTTGTGTGTTAGCTCAGTTGTTTAAAGCACCTGCTTGGGTAAACTCAGGCGCAGGGGACCACGGTTCAATCCCCAGCTCCACAAGCCACACCAGACCCACCCTTTAAGGCCCCATGAGCTAGCCAAAAAAAAAAAAAAAAAAAATGGGAGGATGGTCTTGCTGGGTTAGCTCAGTTGTTTAAAGGGCCTACAGGGGACCAGATTCAATCCCCAGTTCCACATGCCGCACCAGAACTGCCCTGAGAGCACCCTGTGCCACTCAGAAAAAGAATCTTTCCCAAGTTCTGGGCCAGGGAGATAGCTCAGTGGAATAAGTGCTTGCCTGGCAAGTGCTAGGTCCTGAGGTTGATCCCTGATACCACCAAAAAAAAAAAAAAAAAAAAAAAAAAAAAAAAAAAGATTGAAGTCACTCCATCTCAGAAAACACTGATGAACTGTCACTGCCTGATGGAGAGTAATGACAAATAAATGCAATATACTATTTTTCCAACTTTATAATGCAAATGATCTCTTAAAAAATACATAGACCAACAACTAGTTGCATCAAATTATTTATCTTGCTCACAACCAAATCCACTGCAAGTATCAATCAGACCTGAAATAATTTAAAATTATTTTCAAAGATCAAATTCCTCCTCAAAGGACAAAAGCCTATTACCATACATACCATCACAATTATCGCATAACTTCCTAATATAGATTGCTACACTTATTCTGAGGCTTACAAATTTGCCTAAGATTACACTGCTATACTACAATGATTTATTAAGGAATGTTACCAAAAGAATTTATAAAAGATTCCAAAACTGTAAAATATTTTGAACACTGGTTGCACTGCTGAAAACACAAGCACAGAGCCTTTAAAAATGACCACTTAGAAGCAGTTATTGTTAGCTACTATATGAAGATGTCATCATCAAATTCACTTACCTAAAATAAAAAAGTACTAGAAGTCACTTTATCCTTCCTTTGCAATTCAAGAAACCAAACATTTTCACTTCAACCTAACAACGCTCTAATATCCACTACTACTTCATCTCCACTGATGTGTTTTTTAATATTTAATTCTCAAACAGTCTCAGATTTATAAAAAGACTGTGAAGATAGTAGTTTCCATGTTCATTGTACTTTCCACTTACATGTCTTAATATATTGTCACACTACTATAATTAATGAACCAATATAAATACATTATTAACTAAAATCCACCTACAGATCTTAGTTTTTGTCTAATGTCTCTTTTCTACTTCAAGATGCCATATAACACTCAATTATCATGTTTCCTGAGTCCCCTCTTCACAATGACAGTTTCTTTAATTCTCCTTGTTTTTGATGACCTAAATAATGCTGAGTACTAGTCAAGTATTTAGTAGAATGTTCCTCAAATGGGATTATATGGCCATTAGGGGTCTTTGGGAGGAAAACTCCAGAGCTTAAGCACCGTTTTTATCACAAACGAAGGGTGTAAACTCTTGAGAGTGTATTGATATTATTATTGGTATCAATATTGATAATGACTTGGACAATCTGGCTGAGGAAATTATCAGTTACTATTCTGTTGTCCATTCGTTAATAAGTGTTTTAGGCCTTTATTATAGCCTGTCTAAATTACTAGAAGAGGGACAGCCTGATAGCTCAGTGGACTAAAGCACTTGCTTAGGCAGAATGCAGTAGCCAGGATTCGATCCCCGGAAGGCCGTGCAAGCCCTGCCCACGAAGCGTGCTGAAATGGCAATTGAGACTGGGTGTAGTGGTGTGCACCAGAAATCCCAGTAGTTGGGAGACTGAAAACAGGAGAATTACTATGAGTCTCATCTACATAGTGAGACCCCATAGACCCTGTCCTAAATATAGGAAAATTAAATAAATAACTAGAAGAGAGTCATAATTATGCTCACCAATTAGGCCACTTTGAATAATTTCTACATCCTATCATTAAAGTGGTCTTTTTTAAATGCTGATGTGAATCATGTCACTCTTGTTACACTACAAGGTGCTATCCATTAACTTCAGACCAAATCTCCAAGGTCTCCAAAGCTCTTTGTACAAATGACTTATTCTTGAGCATTGATAGGGAAGGATACAGTGAGGCTAGAATATTCTGATGACTTAAGGGAAAGAAATTCTCAAAGAATCAAAAGCCCTAGCCACCAGAGTAACAAGGTCCCTACTACACAAATTAGAGACAATATATTAATGGGTCATAATTCACTGAATAATAATTTATACTGATATCAATGATTGAATGAACAGAGGAAAAAGCACTTCCTTAGGGCTGGGAAATATAGCTCAACAGCTTAAGTACTTGCCTTCAAGGGCAACGTCCCAAGTTCAATCCCCAGTACCACAAAAAAAAAGGAAAGAAAAGAAAGTGCTTCCTTATAGTAGAATGCTACATCATCAGTAAAGAAAAATGCAATGAGAAAATAATGGATGTAAAATTGGTAAGGAAAACTGAATAAAGGACATTACTTAATCTCAAAGTATATATTACTTATCAATTACAAGAGGGAAAATAAATTTACAGTAGTGAAATCTAGCCAATACTCTTTGCCCCCAAATCAAGTGGTCAAACCAACATCACCAATTTTGAAAGAAACCAGTACCATTTTACCTACTGTACGGTGAACTAAGAGACATAAAGCCATTAGTATACCTCCCAAAAATGCACAGCTGGAATCCTTTTTTTTTTTTTTTTTTTTTTTTTTTTTTTTTTTTTTTGCAGTACCAGGGATTGAACTCAGGACCCTGTGCTTGCCAGGCAAGCACTTATTCTGCTGAGCTATCTCCCTGAACCCACAGCTAGAATCTTGTAAGAAAACCTCAGAAAAACTCAAACTTCTGAATTTTCTGCAAAATAACAGGCCTGTACACTCTATATCAATGTTAAGCTGGGTGTAATGATACATGCCTATAATCTCAGCATCCTGGAAGGCTGAGGCAGGAGGATAACAATTTCAAACCAGACTAGGCAGATTAAGTCACTTAGTGAAACTCTTGTGTTGTAGTCTGGGTTTTTTGCAAGGGGTACAATACAATACAGGACACACTTTACAAAATTATTTTATAATCACCCAAAGAATCACATACAAAGAGTGCAGGAAAGAGCAAAGAGTCCAGCTGAGGGCCTGGATCCTAATATCCTGTATGAATCCAGATGAAAACCTATAGCCTATAACAAGGCCTCTCACAAGTCCAATTGGAGGCCTAGAGCCCACAATAATGTCTCATGCAGGCCCACTTCAAGGATCTACACTAAAAAGGGCCAAAAGTCAGGGGTGGAAGCTAAAAAGTCTATGCCAGCAGGATGAAGGGTCTATGCTAGCAGGCTGTGGGATCTGAATTGGAACCAGGAAGCAACTCTCAAAGTAAGAACCAGAGCTCCCCTGAAAAGTACCACAGCCATTCTCAGTAACACTGAGGTCCCCAGCTCCTTCGGTGATGAGGAAACTTGAGTTCCCATCAGGAAAGCCAATGTGAGCAACTTCTCCAGGAGGCTGAGCATTGTATTGTACCATCTTCCCCTCCAGAGCGAGGAAACGATGCTCAAGATGAGGACGAGAGCTCCCCTAAAGTGAATCATAGCCCTCTTCAGCAACAACAAGGTCCCAAGTTCCTCCTCAACAAGAACAGCCAAGCTCATCAGGAAACCAGCATGACCAGGTCCTCCAGTAGAGTAGCCCAAGAAAACCAGGAACTTCCAACAGTTTCAACAGCTTTTCCAAACAGCTTCTCCAGTTCTGCCTCTTATGCAGCTAGCAACAATCCTCAGATGGGCCTCCCACACCCAGAAATACATTAGTTCAATTCAGCTGGGTGTAACAAGTTGAACACCAGTTAGCAAAAGACTACACCCTGCCTTAATATTTAAGAAACAAATAAATAAATGGCTAGGAATGAAGCACAGATTAAACTGATAACTAAATAAAATACATGAACCTAGACTAGGAACATGGAGCAGGGGTTAGGGTTGGTGGCCAGATGGAGTGGGGGAAATGGCTATAAAGGATACTCTTCAGATATGTCATAAAGTTCAAACATGGTCTGTATATAACAGTATAGCTATAATTTCCTTAGTTTAACTATTGTTTGTTAAAAACAGATCTCATTCTTTCAAAGTGCACATTTAAGCTTTTAAGAATAAAAGCACATTATCTCAATCTACTCTCAAATGC